GACAGGCCCTGACAGCACCTCGGGGCCGGGGCCTTGGTAGAGATGGGCAGTACCAGGTGGGCCCAGTGTCAAGCCTGAGGCCACTTCCCCACAATTCCCACCATCGCTGCCCCCAGCCACCACCATGAAGCCACCAGCCGGAGCATCACCTGGTCCTGTGCCTGCCAGACTCAACACTGGCTTCTTTTCTTTCTGTGATATCCTGCGTTTTCTAGTCTTTATAACATCGGTCTGCATGGTCAATGGCCGGTTCACCTGATGAGAGAGAGGCCATGAGTGTTCCCCAACCTCAGACTTTTGCCTCTGTGTCTCCACCCTTTCCACCCCACTCCTTAAGAGTAGGGAACTGGGTCAAGGACTAGGGGAGCAGACCCCAGCTGTGGCACAGGTAATGCCCTAAGGAATCATGAGCTTGTGAGGCCCTAAGCCAGGGAGCCTCTAACCATAGGACTAGCTGATGGCTGGAGGGGAGGGGGAAGGAGATGAGAAATGGAGGAGAGAGAAGGGAGCAGGAGGGAAAAGAAAGGCAGGGAGGAGATGAAGGTGCAGAGAAGAGAGGGGTGAGGGGGAAGGAGGAGGGAGGAGAATAACAGGGAGAAGAGAGGAAGGGAGATAGGAAGAATACAGGAAAGGAAAAGGAGAAGGAAGACAGGGCTAGTGGGATTGGGGTGCAGGGGGGAGGCTCCAAGAGGCAGGGCACACCTGGTGTCGCTTGTAATAAAATGCCGCAGGCATTGCACACGGGGTCTCTATTGGCATTCAGCCCGCCCACACTGCCGTGATGGTTGTCTGGCAGTTGGAGCACTGGGCACCTGCCCGCTTGCTGACCTTCTGGGGGCAGCAAGAATGTGAGGGTCAGTGCACTGGGGGGGCGCGGTGGAGGACCCAGGAGGTGAGGGTCAGGGTGCAGGCAGGGCTTCCTGGACAAGGCGTAGACTGAGGGTTCTCTAAGGGGCGAGGACATGGCCTCCTGTCCCGGGGCTTTCCAAATGGCGTGGGGGGCTTCATCAGTGGTTCTCAGCGTTGGCGGACATTGGACTCCCTTGGGGAGTCGAAAACTATCCTGATGCCCAGCCAGCGCCCCAGACCAAGTAAATCAACCCATCTAGGGAGGGCCCCACGGTGATCCCAGTGTGTAGCCAAGGATGAAAACTGCTGTGCAGGGAGTGGACGGCGTGCCTGCTTGCAGCCTGAGGGTGGGCTGAGGGTAGACACTCCTGCACAGAGCTGGGTCCCTGAATGGATGGGGCAGGGAGGGGGGATGTGGGTTCTCATAGAGTGTGAGGACAGAGATCCCTGCGCAGAGTGAGAACAGAGTACCTGGGTGAGGGGAGGCCGGCCTGGGGTCTTACCCGGCGCCTTTGGGGCTTGTTCCGCCTATTCATCATCTGACCATCAGCATTGCATAGCCAACAATGTGGAGTGGCTCTCGCTCTGCAGTACCTATTCTTCCTGGCCCCTGCTGTGGTGGACAGGGGGCAAGAGGGACCAGGCTCAGCCCAGCTTGGCCTTGGACCCCATCCCCCTCCTCAACCTCCATGTCCCTTTGGGGGAACCTTACCACAGGTGGACGGGGGCAGGGTTCCAGGAAGGTTGGGGGAAGAATAGACCGTTGGATTGGGGGGGCTTCTGATTGGAGGAAAGAAGCTCCTGGGAAAGTCGGGGGGCCCGTAGGCACTGCTGGGGACAGGGATGGAGGAAGGCACTGCAGGTCCCAGTGCCAACAGGTCCGGACTCAGTCGCTCTGTCCTGAAGTTCTCTGGGAAGGTGCCTCTCCCATAGGAATCTTCGGAGGCCTGGGGAGGGGTGTAGTCCCAGGGGGGGCTCACAGTTGTGGGATGGTAGAGCCCCGTGTTGCCATAGGCCCAGCTGGTGTATGGTGAGCCTCTTAGGGTCCCCTCCAGACAGAAGAGGCATGAATTCACCTGGAAGGCTGTTTGGGGTGTGGATGGGTATGGGAAGGAAGAAAGAAGGGAACAGAAGGTCTGAAGCCATCCTGCTTTCAGGGTGCAGTGGTTCCCAACAGCCCCACATGGTGGCCAAGCTTCCCACCTTCCCATAGGTTGCCAGAGCAGCTGCTGGCCATTGGGTGACTCCTGGGTCTGAGCCCCACTGGCCACTCTGGCAGCTGCAGTCACCTGCAGCCTTTTCCCAATGGGCTTTGAGCATAACTGTGTGGAGCCCCATGGGCCACTCAACTAGGGCCACCCCCACCTACTTACCATATTCAGTCGCAATGAGGCAGTCTGGGGATGGATATTCCCAGGTCTGCACATACACAGGGAACGTGATCCACAAAGCCTCGTGAGGGCTTCCAGCCATTTCTAAGATGGCCTCTTTGTTGGGTTCTACACTAGCTAAGGGTCTCCATGGCAACCCCAGTAACATGGAACCCTGCCAGAAAAGCCAGTGCAGCAGCTGCCTGCATATGCTCCAACTGGGGCTGGGGATCGAACCTAAACCCAGGTGCATGCCCTTGTCTGGGAATCAAACCCGAGACCCTTCAGTGCACAAGCCCATGCTCTAACCACTGAGAACACCAGCCAGGGCTCATTAAAGGACCCATGAGAGGTTCCTATGGGTCAGGCCTGGAAGTTGTGTATGTCACTGTGCTCACTCTATTGATCAGAACTGTCACATGTCCACGCTTCATTGTAAGGGAGGCTGGGAAAGTGAGTCAGGAAGAAAGGAGAACAGAGTTGAAAAGCCTATAGCAGTGCCTGCCCCAGGATTCTGTGGACTCCCCAGAGCTACGCTGTATCATGTGGTAGCCACTAGCCACAGTCAGGACAGTGGCTCCTGTACAAGGTGAGGGCAAGGCTTCCAGACCAAGGCTGTCAGGGAGAGAGTCACATCAGGGCTTCCTACACAGGGTCAGGAGGGTGTTTCCAGAGGGCAAGTTTAGGGGTTCCTATGAAAGATCAGGTCAGAGATTCCCGAAACGGGTCAAGTTATGGATTTCTGTTGGAAGTCAGGGAAAGGTTTCTGCAGAATCTGGCTATAGGCTCCAGCACTGTTATAGGCTAGGCTTCCTGTAGAGGGTCAGGGCCATGGAGCCAGCACAGGGTTAGGACAGCAAGCCCTGTGCAGTGTCTGGGCAGGGGGTTCTGTGCCAGGTGAGGCTGTAGGTGCCTGTATAGAATGAGATCTGGACTTAAAGTTAGGGGGTCAGGACAGGCGCCCCACCACAGGTTCAGGAAAGGATTTTACATGTAAGTTCAAGACTGAGGTTCATGTTGAGAGTTGGATCACAGGTTCCTGTGGACTCTGTGGGGTGGGGCGTGACGTAGGGATTGTTGTGCAGAGTGACATCCGGGGCCATCGTCAACAATGTAAGCAAGTTTCTGTACTCAGTCAGCGTTCCCAGAGTTTACAGATGGGGATTTCTTTAAAAAAAAAGACAAACACACACACATATTTTTATTGATTTCAAAGAGGAAAGGAGAGGGAGAGAGAGATGGAAACATCAGTGATGAGAGAGATTCATGGATCGGCCACCTCCTAATGCACCTCACTGGGGTTCGAGCCTGCAACCTGGGCATGTGCCATGACCAAGAATCCAACCATGTCTTCATGGTTCATGGGTTGATGCTCAACCACTGAGCCACACCGGCCGGACCAGAGTATTTTTTCAGGTGTTCATGAAGGAAAGCACCTGAGCCTTCCAGCTGTTGTTGACCACAGTGAGCACTCAGGAAACGGTGCTGCTTGCGGTTAGGAGCCTCTGGGCAGTGTGGAGGCTACGCCACGGAGCCTGGCTCAGCCCTGTGCCACCAGCTGTGTGGCCTTGGGAGAGCCGCTGTCTGGGTTAGGATGTCACCTGACTCTGTGCATGCTCCAGTGTGAGGGTTTGTTCCATGGAAGAACAGATTCCACTTTAGGGGGAGCAGTTCACCCAGGTGAGTGGGTGTGTTGGGGAGGGAGTTGGCACTGTGGGGAGCTCCCCACCTATGGGGACTAAATATCCCCCCTAGAGGTTATTCTGTTCTCCTAATCTCCCCCTCCTTCTCTTCCATTTCCCACAGGGCTGCAGGCTGAGCTGGGCTGAGAGAGATAAGAGATGAGTGACAGGAAGGCGCATGGACAACCCCACGGTCCCAGACTGGCCTTCTGCCCTTCTTGCTGGCTGCCATTCCAGCCCCACTCTTGCCTCCCATTCCTGTCCTGAACATGTCTTCTGTCCCTTGGAGGTGGGTCCCTAACTTGCACCTATATATATATTGATACCTCCACAAACAAGTGTACAGAGCTGCTCACGCTGTCAGCCACCCAGAGGCACTGTGACAGGGCACAGGATATGCGATGCGCTCACATACACATGCTTGCACACAAGTGCTGCCCTTGCCAGACCCACAAAGACCTCCCGACACGCAGTACTTCAGGTCACACTGCTAGGTCTCCACATACCGTCCTACACAGTCCTTGTTGAGCATCCCAGAAATGTTTATTGAGCAAAGGCTGTGCCCGGTACACATGCTGTCACACCGTCTCAGAACCACCCTGCATGGTGCACAATCACATGAGCACAGCCTCACATGTTGCCTCAGCGCACCCCGTGACTCACATACCCCCACGTCCTCTCATACAGTCACTTGTGCCCCGTTTCTCACAGTTGTCTGGTGTCATGCACACCATCTCTCACAACCTCACCCCCATGGTCACCACCTCACAGAGCAGCCAGCCACCACACACTGTCTCTGCCCATGACGTGTGCATGTACACGCCATATCATACACCCTGGTTGCTGTCACACGCGGTTTCACATACTAGTACACAATCATACTTGCACATCATAACCCACTATCATGAAGGGTCACACGTGCTCTCACACAGCCTCACGCCATCACCAGAGAACCACAGGCACCGTTGCACACCCCACCTACCCCGGCTCTTTATTCAGTCCCACTCAGACTCACACCTCCAACTTCAGGACTCTGATACTTTATTTTACAAATCATTGATGGTCCAAACCAAAGGTTGTGCGGGGGCTAACAGGTTGGGTTGTAGAAACTTCTGGCTCCACGCGGAGAGGGGCCCTACCCCTGCTCTGAGGCCATGCTCTGTGTCCTCATGGGCTCAGTGGCGCCTCCACAGTGCTGGTGGTGGTGGGAGGCATGGGGCCTGTGGGGAAGGAGCCTGTGTATGAACCCAACAGGGGCCCGGGGAAAGGCATGAGGTGGCTGACAGGCCCTGACAGCACCTCTGGGCCGGGGCCTTGGTAGAGATGGGCAGTACCAGGTGGGCCCAATGTCAAGCCTGAGGCCACTTCCCCACAATTCCCACCATCGCTGCCCCCAGCCACCACCATGAAGCCACCAGCCGGAGCATCACCTGGTCCTGTGCCTGCCAGACTCGACACTGGCTTCTTTTTTTTCTGTGATGCCCTGGGTTTTCTAGACTGGATACCATCCTTCCGCATGGTCAGTGGCCGGTTCACCTGATGAGAGAGAGGCCATGAGTGTTCCCCAACCTCAGACTTTTGCCTCTGTGTCTCCACCAGGGACACCCGTTCCACCCCACTCCTTAAGAGTAGGGAACTGGGTCAAGGACTAGGGGAGCAGGCCCCAGCTGTGGCACAGGTAATGCCCTAAGGAATCATGAGCTTGTGAGGCCCTAAGCAGGGGGAGCCTCTAACCATAGGACTAGCTGATGGCTGGAGGGGAGGGGGAAGGAGATGAGAAATGGAGGAGAGAGAAGGGAGCAGGAGGGAAAAGAAAGGCAGGGAGGAGATGAAGGTGCAGAGAAGAGAGGGGTGAGGGGGAAGGAGGAGGGAGGAGAATAACAGGGAGAAGAGAGGAAGGGAGTTTGGAAGAATACAGGAAAGAAAAAGGAGAAGGAAGGCCAGGTTAGTGGGATGGGGGTGCAGGGGGGAGGCTCCAAGAGGCAGGGCACACCTGGTGTCGCTTGTAGTAAATGCCGCAGGCATTGCACACGGGGTCTCTATTGGCATTCAGCCGCCACACTGCCGTGATGGTTGTCTGGCAGTTGGAGCACTGGGCACCTGCCCGCTTGCTGACCTTCTGGGGGCAGCAAGAATGTGAGGGTCAGTGCACTGCCGGGGGGGGGGGACGTGGGAGGACCCAGGAGGTGAGGGTCAGGGTGCAGGCAGGGCTTTCCTGGACAAGGCGTAGACTGAGGGTTCTCTAAGGGGCGAGGACATGGCCTCCTGTCCCGGGGCTTTCCAAATGGCGTGGGGGGGCCTTCATCAGTGGTTCTCAGCGTTGGCGGACATTGGACTTCCCTTGGGGAGTCGAAAACAATCCTGATACCCCAGCCAGCGCCCCAGACCAAGTAAATCAACCCATCTAGGGAGGCCCCATGGTGATCCCAGTGTGTAGCCCAGGATGAAACCTGCTGTGCAGGGAGTGGACGGCGTGCCTGCTGCAGCCTGAGGGTGGGCTGAGGGTAGACACTCCTGCACAGAGCTGGGTCCCTGAATGGATGGGGCAGGGAGGGGGGATGTGGGTTCTCATAGAGTGTGAGGACAGAGATCCCTGCGCAGAGTGAGAACAGAGTACCTGGGTGAGGGGAGGCCGGCCTGGGGTCTTACCCGGCGCCTTTGGGGCTTGTTCCGCCTATTCATCATCTGACCATCAGCATTGCACAGCCAGCAATGTGGAGTGGCTCTCGCTCTGCAGTACCTATTCTTCCTGGCCCCTGCTGTGGCCGACAGGGGGCAAGAGGGACCAGGCTCAGCCCAGCTTTGCCTTGGACCCCATCCCCCTCCTCAACCTCCATGTCCCTTTGGGGGAACCTTACCACAGGTGGACGGGGGCAGGGTTCCAGGAAGGTTGGGGGAAGAATAGACCGCTGGACTGGGGGGGCTTCTGATTGGAGGAAAGAAGCTCCTGGGAAAGTCGGGGGGCCCGTAGGCACTGCTGGGGACAGGGATGGAGGAAGGCACTGCAGGTCCCAGTGCCAACAGGTCCGGACTCAGTCGCTCTGTCCTGAAGTTCTCTGGGAAGGTGCCTCTCCCATAGGAATCTTCGGAGGCCTGGGGAGGGGTGTAGTCCCAGGGGGGGCTCACAGTTGTGGGATGGTAGAGCCCCGTGTTGCCATAGGCCCAGCTGGTGTATGGTGAGCCTCTTAGGGTCCCCTCCAGACAGAAGAGGCATGAATTCACCTGGAAGGCTGTTTGGGGTGTGGATGGGTATGGGAAGGAAGAAAGAAGGGAACAGAAGGTCTGAAGCCATCCTGCTTTCAGGGTGCAGTGGTTCCCAACAGCCCCACATGGTGGCCAACCTTCCCACCTTCCCATAGGTTGCCAGAGCAGCTGCTGGCCATTGGGTGACTCCTGGGTCTGAGCCCCACTGGCCACTCTGGCAGCTGCAGTCACCTGCAGCCTTTTCCCAATGGGCTTTGAGCATAACTGTGTGGAGCCCCATGGGCCACTCAACTAGGGCCACCCCCACCTACTTACCATATTCAGTCCCAATGAGGCAGTCTGGGGATGTATATTCCCAGGTCTGCACATACACAGGGAACGTGATCCACAAAGCCTCGTGAGGGCTTCCAGCCATTTCTAAGATGGCCTCTTTGTTGGGTTCTACACTAGCTAAAGGTCTCCATGGCAACCCCAGTAACATGGAACCCTGCCGGAAAAGCCAGTGCAGCAGCTGCCTGCATATGCTCCAACTGGGGCTGGGGATCGAACCTAAACCCAGGTGCATGCCCTTGTCTGGGAATCAAACCCGAGACCCTTCAGTGCACAAGCCCATGCTCTCACCACTGAGAACACCAGCCAGGGCTCATTAAAGGACCCATGAGAGGTTCCTATGGGCCAGGCCTGGAAGTTGTGTAAGTCATTGTGCTCTCTCCATTGATCAGAACTGTCACATGTCCACCTGTCATTGCAAGGGAGGCTGGGAAAGTTAGTGAGGCAGAAAGGAGAACAGAGTTGAAAAGCCTATAGCAGTGCCTGCTCCAGGATTCTGTAGACTCCCCAGAGCTACGCTGTATCATGTGGTAGCCACTAGCCACAGTCAGGACAGTGGCTCCTGTACAAGGTGAGGGCAAGGCTTCCAGACCAAGGCTGTCAGAGAGAGAGAGTCACATCAGGGCTTCCTACACAGGGTCAGGAGGGTGTTTCCAGAGGGCAAGTTTAGGGGTTCCTATGAAAGATCAGGTCAGAGATTCCCGAAACGGGTCAACTTACGGATTTCTGTTGGAAGTCAGGGAAAGGTTTCTGCAGAATCTGGCTATAGGCTCCAGCACTGTTATAGGCTAGGCTTCCTGTAGAGGGTCAGGGCCATGGAGCCAGCACAGGGTTAGGACAGCAAGCCCTGTGCAGTGTCTGGGCAGGGGGTCCTGTGCCAGGTGAGGCTGTAGGTGCCTATATAGGATGAGGTCTGGACTTAAAGTTAGGGGGTCAGGACAGGCGCCCCACCACAGGTTCAGGAAAGGATTTTACATGTAAGTTCAAGATTGAAGTTCACATTGAGAGTTGGATCACAGGTTCCTGTGGACTCTGAGGGGTAGGGTTTGAGGTAGGGATTGTTGTGCAGAGTGACATCCGGGGCCATCGTCAACAATGTAAGCAAGTTCCTGTACTCAGTCAGCGTTCCCAGAGTTTACAGATGGGGATTTCTTTAAAAAAAAGACAAACAGGGGAGAACCAAGATGGCGGCGTAGGGAGCGGACCTGTGTGTGCTGCTCTCTCACAGCATCATTGAAACTATCAACTATGAAGTAAACAACCGCCACTCAGAACCATGGGGAAGTTGGCCCAGTGGGAGATCTACAACTGGAAGAAAAGAAAGAAGCGCAATGAGACTGAGTGGGAGCTACGGAGACACCAAAACCAGAGGTACGCAGTCACACGCCACGCGGGCTGCAAATGGATTCTCGGTTTTTTATGAACCCTCGAATCCTCTGGGCTTTCTCGGGGCGGGTCTCTGAGGCCCCAGATCCCACAGGGAGAGGCGGCCACGGCCTTGCATTGGTCGGAGAGCAAGGGAAGCTCTGACGCTCGGCTGCTCGCCAGCACTGAGGGACAAGAAGTCCTGGTGTCCCGGGGAGGCGAGGGGCCCAGAGACGCCGCCATCGCTATTTCCTCCGCGCTGGCGACTCCCTGTGACCCCGCCCTATTCTCCGGGCTGTGCCAGAGGCACAAGAGGGAATGACTGTGCTTTTACAAATTCTCAAATCCACTGAGCTGGTTCGGGCGGGTCTCTGAGGCCCCAGGCCCCAAGGCGAGAGACCGCACGGCCTTCCAGCGGTCAGA